AAGGCAGTGAAGCCAAGATATTTATTTACTCAAGTATTTTTTTTTAAAGTAAGTTATTTTATTTTGAATTAACAAGTAACAATTGTACAATCCTACATAGGATACAGTATGATGTATAGGTGCATTCATTGTGTTGTTTCCAAATGAGGCAGTTAGAGTATTCATTACTTCTAGCATTTATTATTCCTTTGTTGCATCCAGGGATTTTTTATTCTATCCTTTCCCTTTTGCACACTGCCTGTCTCCCACCCCAGGCCCCTGCCCTGCCTCTCCCAGACAGCAAGGTCCAGTGACTACCTTTAATGTCTGAAATGTTATTATGCTAATGTTCTGAGTCACCCGATCTATGTGTTCTTGCACCTCCTTTCCACAGTGCTCAGTAGATACTCCTCCATGGTGTGGAAACCACTGCTAGAAATCTTTCTCATGACCCACCTCGTTCTCCTGTGTTTATGGCAGCAGCTCAGAGGTCTCAGTGTTCCAGGTCCATGTCCAGAGGGTTCCATTCTCATATCTCCTGTAAAGTTGAACGCTTCTTCAATGGGTTCTCTTCTCATTAGACTTGTTTAAATTGTGGATTGTGCACAATCATTACTTTTACTGATTTTCACAGCAACAGTCAGATTAGATGGTAGGACCCTCCCTGGGCAGATATTGTTTGGTGGTTCTTTGAGGGAGAAAGTGCAATTATCAGGGCTCTGCTCTGGGTGGGAGACCTGACACCTCTATTTTTACTGAGCTGCTGCTACTCTTCCTCTTCTTTCTCCCTCCCTCCCTCCCTCTCTCTTTCTTTCTTTCTCCCTTCTTTCCTTCCTTCCTTTCTTCCTTTCTTATTTTTTTGCTCAACTGCAGCTGAAATTTGATAAGGAAAAATGCTGTTGGTTCCAGGCCGTACCAGATCACTGTTGGCCGACATCTGAAGATTCCTGCAGCTTTGGGCCTCTTACAAACCTTGGTTTTGTATATATTGTGCTCAGCCTGGAGCACTAGAACATTTCAGACATTAAAGGTAGTCACTGGACCTTTCTGTCTGGGAAGCTGCCAGGATTGGAGGAGGCGTTTAGCTTTAGTGCTATCTCTTTTTTAGTCTAAGACATACTTGTGTGTGGAAAAAAATTATACTTGCTTCCCAAAACTTTCTTCCCCTAGCCTCCTAAAACACATACCCAGGAAAGTGCACTAGTCAAGGTAACCTCCAGTTCTTTTTTTTTTTTTTTTTAACACAATGCCTTTATTTTTATGTGGTGCTGAGGATCCAACCCGGGTCCCGCCCGTGCTAGGCAAGCGCTCTACCCCTGAGCCACAACCCCAGCCCAAGATAACCTCCAGTTCTGACCTTAGGGGAGAAAGCGGAAGTTACACATTTAAAAAGGAGCTGTCCCTATGCTTGGTACAGGCTTGAGTATGTTTCTCTCACCCACACATACACCCAGAATCAGACTGCAGAACCACCACCAGCCCTGCAGTCCCTGGGGTGAGAAGGTCCAATAAGAAAGAGGGGGTGGGGAGAATGGAAGGTGGGTCCTGCTAGGTGGTGTCATTCCTTGCCACCTATTGGTTCAAGAGACAGACACAGAGTAGGTTCCCTGCCTTTGTCCTCCCTGCACTTCTACTTGAGTTCCACTGATCCTGCTGTCCCCCTGACAGTGCTGTCCTCTCTCCCTTGGTGAAGCAGGGAGAAGCGAGGGCCTAGCCAAGGCTCTGGAGAGCTTCCCATTTTTGTGCTCAGATCCAGGAACATACCTTTCCCTGAAGCCCCATGTCTGAGGCATTCCCTTTCAGTTTCATTCCCCAGTCCCTGGGTAAGATTAGGGATGGGAACAGGAGTGGGGGGTTGAGGTGGGGAAAAGATGCTGGGCACCATGCACCTGCCTAGAACCCCAACTTGGTCCCTACCGAGAGCTGGAACTGGGCCAATAGCATCATCAATTCATCCAGGGTTCACTGACTTTTCTGTATTCAGTGCACCAGCCTAGGCAGTTACACTCCAGGGGCACAGGTGTGCAGACCAGTGGGTACAGCTGGCTCACCCTAGGCTCACTATAGGGCTCTGGAAAGGAGGTGACTGCAGCTATGTTGTGGGCTTTCCAGGTGGCAGGGGCACCCTGCAGTGGGAAAAGCAGTTAAAAAGCATGGGCTCATCAGCAGACGTGTCTGGGTAGGGTGCCCCTGACACTGTGTTCAAAGCTTGGGCACACAGGACAGGGGCAACCAGTGGGAAAGTAGCTGGAGCAGAGTGTGAAAGGAGTAGCTGGGGCCAGGCTGGGAAAGGCCAAGCTGGCCAAGTAACCACTCAGTCACGGTTCTGTCTACCCACCATCTGCTTTGTGAGCATGGTGCCTCTGCTTTTCCAGCTTGAATTCTTTATCATAATCTTTATTCTATCTGTATTTGGAGAGGGAAATCTAAGAATCCAGCACATGAAATACAGTCCATGTGGTTAATTTTCAGAGTGTTTATAACCCCCATTGTTGCAAACTCCTTCAGTAATTTTTCCTATTTTTAGTGTAAGAATTTGAGGCTTTGCTTAAAACTCCATTACTCTCTACAACACAGCCAAAGTGTTGAGGGAAGGAGAGGACTGAGGCAGGTAGGATGCAGGGAGGAGGTCCTGGGATGGTCCAAGGCTACATGTGGGTCTGCAAAGCTCCTGGGATGTATCCATCCAGCTGTGATGGCTGGGAATAGAAAATGCACCTTGGATTTAGCAGCAAATAAAAAGTTAAAAAAAAAAAAAAAGTTCTTCAGTATAGAAAATAGGCTTGTTCACAGAGAGTAAAGTTAGTAGAAATGTAGATTTGCAAGTCCAAAGTCAAGCAGAGCACAGCCGTGCTCTGATCTGTCTAGCCCTTCCTCCTTCCTTCTGCACTGGTTTTCTTCCTCTGGTATTCCTTTTTTAAATCCTCGTAGGAGCTTGGGGTTTTCTGAAATCATGTTGACTTCATCCTCTTTCTCTCTCCAAGCTTGAGCTTAACCTCTCCATCATCCTTGGACTTCAGTCCCCACAGCCCTTTCCCCAGTGCTTCACCTTGTTGCCACTGGCTCCTTCTAATCTCATTTCTCCCAGCTGGTTTCTCTGGCTTCATTCTCCTCCCCCTCCTCCAATCCTTCCTTCACATTATAGCAACGTTGTTATTTAGCCCAGCCCTTGTCACCTTCAGTGCGATCACCACAATAACACTCTTGCCAAGCCCCAGCTGCTCATCAAGGATGTTAGGAGCTTGACGCATGTTCTGTCACTACGTTCTTCAAAAAGAAGTGTGTGAAACTCAGAGAGATGAGTTGCTCAAGTCCAGAACCATGCCTGTAGAGGGTTAGGGCTGGAACTTAGCCCACACCTCAGCAACACTAGTATCTCCTCTCTCTACAGCATCAGCAGACCTCTACTCAAAAGCTGTCACTCCCTGGCTCAACCCTAAGAAAAGCCCCCATGGCTTGCTCTAGTCCTTGAGAGCCTCCACAGTGAGCCCCTCTCACCCTGCCCCCTCACTTTTCAGTCTCATCTGTCATTCCATGCATGAGTGAATACCATGGGGGATAATTTCCAAGACCCCCAGTGGATCCCTGAAATCACGGGTAGTACCAAACTATGTTTTTTCCTTATATATGCATACCTATGAGAAAGTTTAATTTATAAATTAGGCACCGTAAGAGATCAACAATAATGACAAATAATAAAATAGAACCATTGTATATTGTAATATTATAAAACATGAATTGTTTTTCTGGAATTTTTCATTTAATATTTTTGGACTGTGATTGACCATAACCTGGGAAAATGGAACTGCAGATAATAGGAGAACTTCTATACTACTGTCTGTGTAGCATGTGCTTCAGATTCCACTCTTGCTCTCAGTCAAAAGCCATCTGAGTATCATGAATAGATAGCCACTGCTTCTGTTTTTCTGTTTTATTACCTTCTTCCTGAAACTCTACCCTAGCTTACCAGAGTACTGTCCCTGGCCTGCTGAAGTCAAGGACTATCCTTTGCTTAGTTTTGTGTCCCCCAGCACCTGCTACTCATCCCATTACAGAAAATAGTGATGGAGACATCCCTCAGCTTGTACAGAAGGTCCAAGGCTATCAATCTCAAAGAAGAAACATCTCCATTCAGTGACAGATGATTAGTTAGCATTGGTGAGAGAAAGCCTTTGTCCCAATATAAAAAATCTTGATAGCAAGGTAGTGAAATCAAAAATTCTACATTTATCCTTAAAAGGTCTGTCTCACCCAGGCAGGGTGGTACATGCCTGTAATCCCAGCAACTCAGGAGGCTGAGGCAGGATGATAAGTTAGAAGCGAGACTGGGCAGCTAAGTGAGACCCTCTCTCAAAATTAAAGATAAGAAGGATTGGGGATGTAGCTGAGTGGCAGAGTGCTTGCCTAGCCTGAGTTCAGTCTCCAGTACACAAAAATAAATGAATAATAAAAGACCTGTCTCTTGTAGTAAAGATACCCTGTAATTCCAATTCTGAGAGTTCCAGTCCTTTTCATATGTGGACAATAGTAAGAATGACCTGGGAATTTAATAGTACTATTGCCTTGCAGATGTAAGCAGAATACTTTTTAAAAGTGATCATAATTTTCAGTTTCTTTACTTCCTCTAGTATATCACCATATTGCTTAGAAACATTATATCTGTATTTTTCTGTTTTGAGGCATACATTTTCAACTAAATCACACATAGTTTACCTTAGCTCACAAAATAATTGTATTAGCAGTGCTCTCTGAAATGTCCCACTTCTCACTTAACAGAACCCCTGACTCCAGCTCCTCAGAATCAGTTGCTGCTTCTGGATTAATAAATATGTCAGTAGATGTTTTCTAATGATTTCTTACTTGAGTAAGATGAAACTGATAATTTTCCCTGAGGAGTATGTTATCAAAGGTAGTTTATTTTGTCATATGAAAAAACTTGTTATCTGTGCTTTCTTTTGTTTCATTTTATTTTGTTATTATCTGTGCCTTTTTAACCATGCCCTTCCTCTCTCTTTCTCTAGTTTCTTCAGATGGAGGTACTGAGTCCTCTGCCTTAGTCGATGACAACGGTAGCGAGGAGGACTTCAGCTATGAAGAACTCTGTCAGGCCAATCCCCGGTATCTACAGCCAGGCGGGGAACAGCTGGCCATTAATGAGGTACCAAAAATCCACACAACAGTGACATTTATTGGACACTGGATTTGCAGGGTCCAGAACTACTTCAGAGGTTGCTATCTGATTATTTTTTGCTAAGCATTTTCTAAACCCTAGAACTCTGATTCCCATTGGGGGATAGGGGTGTAGTTTGGTGGTAGAGCACTTGGCCTAGCATATATGAAGCCTTGGGTTTAGTCCCCAGCTCTGAAAAAATTGGCTGGAGGGGTAGCTCAATGGTAGAGCATAAATGAGGCCTTAGGTTCAATATCTAGCACTGAAAAAAAAAAGGCAAGCAAACAAAACATACCAAAAAAACAAAACCATGCATATACAAGAACAACACTGGTTTTTTGCATTGTCCAGAAAAATGTCTGTGATCAAGCTTTCCAAGTAACTGAAGCTTATCCTTTAAGTAATTAGAGCAGCAATCGTTAGCACTCAGGTCTTGCTTTTTAGTTTATGAAATGCACTCATGGCTCATGTAATTCTCAACTGCAATCTAAGATGTAAAAGTTAACATTAGTAATGTCCTGAAATGGATTTGGTAGCAAATGGTAGAGCTGGAATTAACCATGTGATTCTCACTCCCAATCTGATGTTCTTTCTACCACTTTGCAGCTTTAGTTCTTTTTACAGAAATTTTTCTAGAAGGCAGGCACCTCAGTCTTTGAATACTCTTAAGCAGAATGTGTGGAGTGTAACTGAGGTCTGTTAGCCTCCCTACTGAGATCTCCTGTCATTATTCTAAACATGATATAAGCCAAGTATCCCTAAACTCAAACCCCCAAATCTGAAGCTCTTTAAACAATAACATGACATTCAAAAGCTTAAGATTTTGGATTTTGGATTAGAATTATCAACCAGTAAAGACTATGCAAATGTTCCAAAATCCAGAAAACTCAGAAATCTGAATTACTGCTGGTCACAGGCCTTTTTGTCTGTAAGAGCTAAGGGGAGGCAGAATCAACTCTTCCCAGTGAATGAGCCATATCTGTTCTTGACTTTTTCAATAACTGTTAAATATCCCAAGATCAAGCCATTGTCTTTAATTGTAGTAAACTATAAAGTTGAATATCGAATTGGGAATTAGTATGAGTAACACACCTCTGGGAGAACATGTGCAGGACTTCCATTAACACATACAACTAACATTAGGATGCTAGGCTCCAACATCTGCAGAAACCAAATATTCCAGATATTCAAGGTTTTTAGTTAACTGACCTAGAGCTAAGTGAGCTGTTTATACAGTCCCCAATTTACAATGTTTCAGCCTTTTTTTATTTTACCATGATATGAAAGCAATACTCATGTATTCAGTAGAAATATACTTTCAATTTTGAGTTCTGCTTTTTTCAGGCTAACAATTCATTCCATCCCTCCGTTCATCCATTCTTTTTCACTTTCATTTTACAGTGGTCCGTGTATTACCTGAGCGATTTAACATATCATATAAGGGTTTGTTAGATGATTTTGCCTAACTATAGGCTAACAGGAGTGTTCTGAGCATGTTTATGTTAGGGCAGGCTACGCTGTGATGTAAGGTAGGTTAGGGGTATTAAATGCATTTTGGATGTAGGATATTTTTAATTTACAATGAGCTTATGCGGAGGTAACCCCATTATAAATCAAGCGGCATCCGTACATCTTTTAAAAGTGGATTTGGGGGCTGGGGTTATGTGGCTTAGTGGCAGAGCATTTGCCTCGCACGTGTGAGGTACTGGGCTCAGTCCTCAGCACCACATGAAAATGAATAAACGCAGATATTGTGTCATGTATAACTAAAAAAAGTATATTAAAAAAAAATGGGTTTGGATTTTCTTTTAAGAACAGGTTGGAGATGCCCACCTGGTACTTTTCCCCCAATATGTTTTCCTCTATTGATTTTTGTATAACCAGTGAAAGTAAGGATTGACTGGACGTCACCAGGTGTCTGAACAAGAACTAAGAGAGGTCAGGGTCACCAAGATAGAGCCCATACAGCAGCTCCCTTGCTCCTACCCGTTCTTAACATGAAGCCTGTCTTGTCTCTGTTCCAGCTGATCAGCGATGGCAGCGTGGTCTGCGCAGAAGCTCTCTGGGACCATGTGACCATGGATGACCAGGAACTGGGCTTCAAGGCCGGGGATGTCATCCAGGTCCTGGAAGCCTCAAACAAAGACTGGTGGTGGGGCCGGAACGAGGATAAGGAGGCCTGGTTCCCTGCAAGCTTTGTCAGAGTAAGTGTGTGGCCCTTTGTGCTTTTTAGAAGTATCTATGGTGGAACTGCAGACTCCTTTCAGGCAGATCTCCCCCTTATTCAGGTCTATTCTTTGGTAATTTTTTGTTTCGGTCCCACATACTAGTCAAACCTATAAGAAATCAGGTTAGTCCAAATAAAAAATTTAATGAAGGTAAACAAATTATTTGGCAATGCTGCTGTTTCTTGGAGTGTGTTGGCAGGGCTGTGGCTCTGCTAAGGCCATAAAGATGGAAGCTAGGGCCAGGCCACTCTCATAACTGGTCACAGACAAGTGGGAAGCCATGAAGTCTTCACCTCCTCCTTCCTCTCATCACCTGTCACCTGTGTGTGCACTGCAGCTTCGAGTCAATCAGGAAGAGCTGTCTGAGAATTCTAGTAGTACACATGGTGAGGAGCAGGAGGAGGATACCAGCACAAGCCACCACAAGCACTCTGAGAACAAGCACCAGATGCGGACAAATGTCATCCAGGAGATCATGAACACTGAACGGGTGTACATCAAACACCTCAAGGACATCTGCGAGGTAAGGTGCAGGCCCCAGGGCCTTGCTATAGGTCAGAGCCCATGGTTACAGAACACGACCCCACCTCCTCCTTACAAGCACACTTTCCTATACTTCTCATTTCTCCTTACCTCTGCTCCTGCCCATCTAGCCCCTGCCCAGATCCATTAAACACCTGCTATCTACATTGCTGAGTTTAATGGGCTGTGGCTATTTTACCTGCTCTTGCAGCCAGTCCTTATTTATTCGCATACATATATAAATGAATCTATGTATACACAGAGATGGGGTCTCGCTGTGTTGCCCAGGCTTGCCTCCAACTCCTGGGCTCAAGGGAGTCTCTTTCTCGCCTTCTGAGTAGCCAGTCCTCTTTAAAGGGCACTTTGCAACTTTTTCCCTCAGGACTTAACTCCTGGGAGTATTTAAAGTGATTGACTTCTGCAGAACCCACTTTCTCCAAGCCCCCAGTGTCTAATCACTGACTCGTAGATGAAATTCAGAGTCGTTAGATATAGGTGAAAAAAATTTTAAGCTTTATCCTAGGCTATATTTTATGGTGTCATGATATTCTCCTCAGCAATCATTTATTTTATGTTCTTGTCCTAATTTCAGAGAACTGAACATTAGCAGATGTGAGTCTGCAAGGCTCCCTCCCCTATTGCTATGTGTCTTGTAGACCTTGTCTGAGTATTCTGCTGAGCTCTGGCCTGCCAGGTCTGATCATTCCGGCTGTCCTAGCTGTGAATGCTGAGATCTGCACTACCAATTCAACTGTGACCATTCAGCACTAGAGACAAGCTAAGGCAAAGTACTGTCCATTCTTGTACTTAGACAATCTGCCACATGGACCTACTGATGTTTTGCTTACTTGTGCCAACCTTCTTATTCTATGTCAATGTGTGGTAAATGAAGTGTCTTTAAAGTGACATATAAAGACCACCAAATGACTCAGCTATCCCACTCCTTGGTATTTTTCAAAAAGATCTAAAACTGACATATTACAGCAATGCAGCCACCTAATGTTTATAGCAACACAATTCACAATAGCTAAATTATGGAATCAACCCATAGCCTTATCAGTAAATGAACTGATTAAGAAATTGTGTTCAGGCATGGTGGCTCACGCCTGTAATGCCAGTGTCTGGGGAGGCTGAGACCGGAAGATCTTGAGTTCAAAGCCAGCCTCAGCAAAAGTGAGGTGCTAAGCAACTCAATGAGACCCTGTCTCTGAATAAAATACAAGTAGGCTGGGGATGTGGCTCAGTGGTTGAGTGCCCCTGAGTTCAATTTCTGGTACCAAAAAAAAAAAAGAAATTGTGGTGTATGTATACAATGGAATTCTACTCAGCCAATAGAATACAAAAATGGCATTTGCCAATAAATGGATGGAAATGGAGAATATCTTGCTAAGTGAAATTAGTCAAATTCAGAAACTCAAAGGTCAAATGTTTTCCTTCATATGCAGTAATTAGAGTAAAATAAAGGAAAGGGGCAGAGAAGGATAAGATTACATAAGGAACCAATCAAATATAAATAGATAAATGAAAGAAAGTCTGAAGGAGAAGAAGGGAGGGAAGGAGAAGAGTAAAAGGGGAGATCATGAACTGAAATAAAA